AATGGCTGGTCTGATTGTCTGGCGTGGGAAGCAACGTTTGATTGGCTTGATGTCATCGAGATGGGCCACGCTGTCTCCTTCCTCGTCCGTTACCTAGGTATTGAACAATCTTTCCCCCCTTCATTTTCTGGTTCTGTAGTCCGCAACTCCTTCTCTTCTTCATCTACTTACACTCTGTCTGGTCATGTTGAGAAAGACCCTCGGGGCAGTAGCGTGCAACATTGTAAACATAAGGTAGGTACTCGATTTCATGATAGCTAACGGATCAGCCAGGAACTGGGTAACAGTCATCCTTCCAGATTCCACCATTTCGGTTTCTCGGCCAGTGGAGATGAACTACAAAGTACCTCAGATGAACTAGCTGATGAATTTAATTCAGAGAAGCATGGACCTTTGCTTGCTGTTGACCACGAATATGTCATCATTGCAAAGCGAGCTTCTGGAAAAACACCCCAGCAGTTGTTTAAACCCTTATTTGTTGGTGTACTTCGTAAGGCAAGGTAGACCGCTGATTTGACAGATTGCGTGGCTTAGCTGACGAGTCGTCTGCAACCCGGGAACTTGTGCAGTGGACTTCAACATGGGAGCCCAGACCATACTATCGCTCTGGCGGAGATGGGCGGGCGGTTGAGCGGGACTGATTACGCCGCCATCGTCAAAATTGCTGTGCTATTTATCCGCATCTACTTAACCTTACTGCTGGGTCGTTGGATCCTAAAACTGCGAAAGCAGAAAAAATCATATACCGCGCGAGCGAAGCGGCCGATGTGACAATATTGCAGATGAGGTGTCCTTCCCAATCCTCGATGACTCAACGTGGTGTCCCACGAGCTCGGTCTAAGCCGCGTAGCTCCATCTGAGGTATCTGCCTAGGAGGCTTGCATTGAAGCAACCATTCAGAAAACGCCACAAGTCTAACAGACTCGCTCACGGCGACCATCATAGCAGGATGGTAATATTTGGGTAGTATGGGTATCTGCCCTTGGTTCACATGCTATGCGAGCTCCTTTGCTCAAAAGGGTCTAAAGGAGGTTTCTGCCTGAAATTTGAAATCGGGGTCTGTCACGATACCAACTCTTTCACAGGACGACAGCGTGGCACCTGGCACCCTCTCGCAGACATGCCAACTCTTCGGTGCCGCAACCGGTTCCCGTACCCGCTGATAGGTCTGTCAGTCCGCCAGCATGTCTCGTGGTAAATACGTTACAGTAGGCGTTGCTGTTGGCGTGGCGCACGATGAAAATAGCATGGAGTCGTTGCTACACCATCTATGGCAGCTTCTTTCGAGGTCTATGCAGGTGCATACAGAGAACTTGCCATCAGAAAGGCGTATCGTATTACAAGGTGCATCATGAAGGATAGGGACGTAGTGGAAGGGTGAGTATAAGTGCCGTTCGCATCGAAATATTACCTCAGAGTTCACAAAGCACGTCGCAGACTTTGAGGATTTGGATGCCGGGTCAAAGCCGCTGTCCAGAAGCCAAGGTCAGCGTGGATTATCTTCGGTCAACAAAGACGGAAGCTTAAATGCTGGCAGTTTTCTCGGTGGTTCATGTCATCAATTTAGAAAGCAAGTGGTATGGTTCATCCAGTATTAATTGGGTGGTGGTTCCTAATTGAGACAGCTCTGAATTCGGTCATCACCTTCTTTCATATTGCCTTCAGCATGTCGGCACAACTTCGCAGTACACAAGCTTGGTACTACAGTAAGCTCCATAGTAGTGCAAGAGGGATGGCCAAGCAAGAATAGCCATAAGTGCAGTTGTCGGCGCGGGCCTGCCCCGTTGGACTAACATGGGCATGCACCGACTCTCAACCTCGCGAACAGCTAGTTGCTACGCCGCGACTGAGCATCACTAAGGTAGCCATGGCATACGACGAACATCAAAGCTTCGGTAGCCGATGCAGTATTGGCCTCGCCCGCACAATCAGGCAGAGGGTGTGTAGACCACCTCACATCTGATACTTTCTTGCCGTTAGACTCATTCGGTATGCAAAGCTCTACGTATGGCAGGTCATACTATCATCTACCCCATATTTGCAAGTTTGGTGGTTGCAAGTCCGCAGAATAGTGGCTTCAGCCTGCATGAGGTTGACTTTAATACATGTGGTTGAGCACAGGGGCTGCCCGGTTGTAATCCACGGGTGGAAAATGCCTTACTGATAACAGAAAGCGCCTTGTGCTTGGCACCTAGATCAAGGAGATGTCGGAAAAGGGTTTCCCACCATTCTCACAACTCTGGCGACAAACACCGTTAAAGTTAACTTTGACACAGTTGCTTGGATTAACGCCTCAAATGCGGTCCTTGTAAGCATCAACATACGACTGGTATGATTTGGGTTAGTTAGTTCGAGGTAGAGCAGCCACGTTCAGCCCTACAGAAGGAGCTCTTCGATCTAGTTGTGAAATCGATACCATCCCAACTCTCGGGGTTTCCCTTGCATACTATCGAGGAAAATTCGAAGGTTTCGCAGGCGTCGTCTACCTGTTCATCTGAAAGCTATACACTTGTGTTGTTGTTAATTCTTAATGATGAGATTGTAACACTACTGACACCCGAACCCTGCTTGTTGTTGCATACATTCTGTCGAAAATCCCAAAGTCGGTATGAGTATTATTTCTGAATATGAAAGATAGCGTAGACTGACGGTATTTGAGCGCTTCGAGTTTAGCATATGCTATCAACCAAGTGGCAAGTAAATAATTGACGACGTCTGTTGATGTACAGCACCCGGAAGCCCACGACGATGATGGCGACTCCGACAATGAAGGAAGACAACGTGTGACCATCAGAATCCTAACCGTAGTCTTGAATCTCTCACATCAATACTTCCTAGATCCATAGTATGCGTGATGAACTTGGCTTGGCTAGCTAAAAGCGTAAGCAACCTGAAAGTTAGCCCGATACCTCGCAGCGACTCACCCAGGAGTCATGGTCTGAGAATAGAGAACTCCTGCGTAGCCGCAGTCTTCACCTGTCAAGTCTGTCTGACCATCGCTGCCTACATGTTACCGTGGACCACTGACAAGGGGCTAAGCCATGGACTGGTTATGGAAGGACTGGGTGTTTCCCATCTTCACATTTCGACAACGGCATCTCCGCGGCACCCTTGTGACCCCCATGACCGACCGCCGCTGGTCGATTTGCAAGACCAATGCAAGTCTAATAATGGTCGTTCACGATACGCTGTCGGTGGTCAACGTTCAACTCTGATGCAGTTTCCCCCCAGTGAGGCCAAATGGGAGCGCAAGTTATTCTGAGCTTTAGACGGTCAGACGAACAAGTCATGTACCTTATGCTGTAGCTCATGCGCTAGCAACAGGTTTGCGTCGCGTTTACGAGCATCCCTTTCCAAAATAGAGCACTGGGACGAATCGGAGGGAAAGCTGCTCGCCGACAAAATCCCCCAATGGAACAATCACACTGTCACGCTAACAATAGAACCGGAGAGTATCCAAAAGATTTGACTTGAAGACCCAGACAGTCAATGATCGCTGTCCAATTTTCAACCTCGTATCGTACAAGATCTATGAATATAGTACAGTTGGTGGTGTCAAGTGGTGTGAGGCTGAAAAACGGGACAGTCGTGTAACCCCTAATCAATTTATCGTAGACCTTGAGCTTCCCTCTCGGCCTTGCGCGCGGCAATGCGCTTCCTGAAGCGAGTCTCTGCCCTTCTGCGCTCACCTCCGTCGACCTTGTGACCCTGCTTATGCTCCCACATGCCCTCGGACACGACGACCTTTGCGCCCGCGCCGGCCTTCAGGGGCAGTGCGCTGGGACCAGAGATCGTGTGCGAGCCGCGAACCGTGTATCCCGACGGTCTCGTGAGCTTGTCGATGGCGGCATTGCTCACGTCGGTGCCCGCCGGCACGTTGACGACCAGCTTCTTGTCTGTCTTGGGGTCGCGCACGACCTTCAGGAAAGCCTCTCCGTTCTCCACGTGCTTGAAGTCGCCGCCGGCACCGAATGCACCCTTCCTGTATCGATCGAGCCAAGTGAGGAGGTAACGTCGCGTCCGTGGCGGTTCCAAGCCGAGCTCTCTGAGTTGTGTCGAGGAGAGGGTGAAGAGAGATTCCCATGTCGGGAACTTGTCGACATGCTGGCTCAGGCCACGGCCGAGAACCTTGAGGAGGGTCGGGACATCGGGCACGAGGGGTATCGGTGACGGAACGGGGGGGATTTCTCTCGTCTTATGAAGCCATCTTGCCTGGCACGTCGGCGCGACGGGTGCCTTGTGGAGGAAGGGGCTCAGAAACTGCTGGATCCGTGGCGCTCTCATGTTGACCTGAGGAAGAATTAGCATCAATTGGACGTCGTATACGAGTGTTTTGGGCTAATTGGCATACTGTATGGACAAGTGAGCTTCTCAAGCTAGATGCTTGGTCAACTTGGAGCTTGCGTAGGTGAGGTCGTCGAAATCAATGGGTCTCGCGATGTTCCTCGACTGCTGTCTCCCAATTTTTGTTCCGACGACGCTAAGGATCGGGATAACTTTGCCTTAGGTAAGCTGATCAGCTCGAATGGATCGTGGCCTGTGCGCATGATCTTGACCGCCTTCCATTCTGGCCATGATCTGTCACCCATGCTTCTATGGTCCGCCGAGGTTTGTTCTGCCACTGAAGCTCCGCTAAATTAGGTAGCAGTGCCCCTCCATCTGTCGCGCTAAAATCTGGGCGACTCTTAATGGATGGAAGGCAATGCGACGCGACTTTGCCTCTTACTGCCTGCTTATCGATTAAGCTAAGTACCGAGGAGCTTCCTTCCTTCCATGTCCAAAGCGCATATTGCGCTTTACCTTGCTCAACTTTGCCTCCGATTTGTTGTTCTGAGAGACAATACAATCACTACATACCAGCCACATTCTTATTTCATCCACCTTCCCGGTCTTTCCTGCTTGTTCACACAGTTTCGACAAAGCAAGCATGTTTCCAACACATACTTAAGGCCCGGTGAAGTCGTTGATAAGAGTGTGAGCAACACTGACCAATATCAACCATGGCTCGCACAAAGATGACGGCTCGCCGCGGAAAGCCGCTCCCGAAGACCACTGCGATCTCATTTCATGGTTTGTCGACTTTCACTGAGAAGCATGCATATTCTGACTAATATTCTTAGAACCTTGGCCGGTTGACTTTATTCACCAACTGCAGAACCTCCCGTCCAACGATGAGGCTCAACCTCAAAACCATGATATGACTGAACCGTCTGCAAAACGATTGAAGCGATCACATGAAGATATGAAAGCGCTTCTTGTGGCCGATGAAGAACTGGAATTCGTACGAAAATGCCCCGAAGAAACACTTCCCTTTACTCGACAAAATGTTGGACCCCATTTGCAACTAGTCAAAGATAAATCGAATGAGTTTGGTATTGCCTCTCGCACCAAACTGTCAGCGCCGTGGATCAACATTTCTGTCACAACCCATTCGAATTCCATCAACCAGCGTCTGGCAGCTTGTCTGTATGTCTTTGCCCAGAAACGGAAGAAGACTCATGGCGAAGGCGATGTCTGGGCGGAAGTTGATGTCGCATTGCGCCCTCAAGGAGACTTTCTCTCCGTCGTGTTTTGCTTCAAGATCTATTGGAATGAAACAAAGACACCATATAGCTGGTTGCGATCCGCAAATGAGCGCCAAGTTAGCCAGAGAGTCCTCAATACTTTTCTACATGACGAAACCGCCTCAAGTTCGACACAACAAAGCTGGTCCCCCTTGGACTTCTACGAGGCAGCTCATGTACCACCCGCCGACGACGAGACCGCGCTTTCAATCGATATTCCCGAATTGACGGCCAAACTTTACCCTTACCAGAAGAAGACAATACAATGGCTTCTCGGCCGGGAAGGGGTTCGTTGGAGGAATTCAAGCACGGAATCAGTCTCAGACATTGAGGAGCTGCCTGTTTCCCTGGGTACTGATATCGCACATAGCTTCCGCAAAATTCGAACTCAAGGGGAATTCGGACAATTGTTTTACGTCAGCGATCTGTATCATGTCGTCACTACCGACTTGACGGCTTTTCAGCAGGCAGAGCGGGACATCCGGGGAGGTATCCTAGCTGAAGAGATGGGCCTTGGCAAGACTCTTGAAGTCATCGGCCTGGTCACGCTTCATCGCCGACCGCCAACCGATAGTCACATTGTCACGCAAGAGGGGGATGAGCTTCTGACAACTGGGGCAACTCTGATCGTCACGCCAGAGTCACTAAGAAACCAGTGGATCGCAGAGCTTCAACGGCACGCACCTCATCTACGAGTCAAATTCTATCCAGGGCGCAAGAATGTCAACCTTGATACTGAGGATGCTCTTCGTGCTGACTTGGCTTCGTACGACGTAGTCATCACCACATATCCAATCTTATCAGCAGAGGTACACTTTGCTTTGAAGCCCCCTGACAGATCTCGGCGCCAAGAGAGGAAGTACGAACGTCTGGTGTCGCCTCTGACGAGAATATCGTGGTGGCGCGTCTGTCTTGACGAAGCTCAGATGATTGAGGGTGGAGTGAGCGGTGCAGCTATCGTCGCAAGAGTCCTTCCTCGGGTCAACGTTTGGGGCGTTACTGGAACACCGGTCAAAAACGACGTCAAAGATCTCCACGGTCTGCTCAGCTTTCTGCGCTACGAGCCCTATGCATCATCTCCTCAGATTTGGAAGGCTCTGACGGAGTCACACAAGCCTCTTTTCAAGTCTCTGTTTGGCAGCATTGCCTTGCGCCATACCAAACAACTTGTTAGACACGAAATTACTGTGCCGCCACAAAAGCGATACGTCATAACACTGCCCTTCACCGCCGTGGAGGAACAATACTATGGCGAGATGTTCAAGACAATGGCCAGAAGTTGTGGACTAGATCTCCTTGGTGCCCCTGTGAAGCCCGACTGGACACCAGAAAAGAACGAGGCTGAGATGCGAACGTGGCTTAACCGTTTACGACAGGCAGCTCTCCATCCTGAAATCGTTCAGATACGCGGCACTGGTCGGAAAGTAGGACCAATGCGGACAGTCGACGAAGTCCTGGATGCTATGATTGAGCAAAGTGAGAACGACATTCGAGCTGATCATCGGGCCTACCTACAAGCTAGGCTTACACGCGGTCAAATGCTCGAAAACAGTCCCAGGGTCAAAGAGGCTCTCGAAATATGGGAGAAGGTCAAGATGGATGCCATGGATCTTGTCGCCGAGTGCCGGCAGGAGGTAAAAACTGCCGTGGGTACCCTACCGGGAGAGATTTCTGCCGCAGCTCGAGGCGGGGACGATAGCGATCAAGGCGAAGGCGACGAGGGCTCGACAAATGCTGTCGTTGGAGAGGCCCGCACAAAGCTTCGGCATGCTCTGGAGGTACTTCATAAGGCCACATTCTTCTGTGCGAACGCCTTCTTCCAAATCAAGAGCAACACGGACATGACTGAACCGGATTCCGATGACTTCAAAAAGTACCAGAAACTTGAGGACGAAGAGTACAGCAAGGCTCAGGAGGTCCGACGAGAGATTCTCTCGGAAAGTCATGCTAAAGCGATGTCGCTTATGAATAGTCTGGGACGCCAAGCCGAAACCCAGTCTTTTGTCGAAATCCCGGAACTTACTTTGAGCGGGCCGAAGGGACTGGAAAGCGCCCCGACGCTTGACACATTGGAAGAACTATATGGTGTCCTCAACGAGCAGGCAGATCGCATTGACGAATGGAGAGAGGCTCTCATCGGTTTGCTCTGTCAGGCGCTGATCGACGAAGAGGCGGAAAATGAGGTCACTGGTGAAGAGTTCACCGACTCCACGCAGATTCAAGAGGAACTTATTGTTCATGTGCAAATCCTGCGCGCCGCCATTGCTGACCGCCAGGACGCTATTTCAGGGCTTGAGAATGCGTTGGTCAGGCATGAGACCAATGTTTCACTGACTGCCGCAGAGAATGGCGAGGGTCCGGCCCCAGAGAAGTTCCTGGCTCTCAATGAAGCCAGAGATTCAGTAAAGCCGTCCCCAGTCAGGCATGGTTCACTTCGTCGTGCCATTGCTGAGTTACGAGCTATTGCCTCGAGGCTACCAAAGGATGGCGGCGGTCGGGCAAGCCTCGAGCACGGGATTGTGACCAAGCAAATTCAACAAACACAGGCGAATATCACCGCTCAGACCAAAGCGGCCACAGCTTTGGAACGGGAGACGGACCGTTTCACATGCGCCATGAATGCCAGGGTTGAGTACTACCGACAACTCCAGGCAGTATCAGACAGTGTTGCCCCCTATGAAGGCCCCAACGATGGACCGGCCGTGGCTTCCTGCATCGCGAGCGAGAACAATTACCGCAGAAAGCTGGACTCTTCCAAGGCGAAGCACAGATATCGTGAGTTCTTCCCGATACATACATCTCGATTGACACTAACAATATGTCTTTCTAGTGCTGAATCTCCAAATGGACGGCGGAAAGTCCAATGAGCCCCGGATGTGTATCATATGCCAGTCAAACTTTACCATTGGAGTTCTGACAGTGTGCGGCCACCAGTTCTGCAAAGAGTGCATGAAGCATTGGCATAAGGCTCATCAGAATTGCCCTATGTGCAAGAGGAAGCTTCGACTCACTGAACTCCATGATATTACTCTCAAGCCAAGAGAGTTGAAGTTACACGATGAGACCCCAGTTTCTGCCTCGCCTGGAGTGAAGAAAGATGAGGCTGCCAAAACTAATGGCATCTACTCCCGTTTCAGTACTGAAAAGCTTGCTCAGATCAATGATATTGAGTTATTGAGGATGTCCTTCGGGACAAAGGTTGACTCGATTGTAAGACACATACTGTGGCTGAGGGAATCGGATCCTGGTGCTAAGTCTGTCATCTTCACCCAGTAAGTCCGGTATCATGAACACCTCTTTGGATTTGTCTACTCACACTTCACTTTGCAGATACAAAAGCTTTCTTGCAATTCTGGGTGAAGCATTCAACCGCTATCAGATCGGCTTCTCCGCAATCGACAGGCCCAGCGGTATTATGAAGTTCCAGAATGATGCTAGCATTGAGTGTTTCATGCTCCACGGCCGGGCAAACTCCAGTGGGCTCAACCTCGTCAATGCCAGCCACGTCTTCTTGTGCGAGCCGCTGCTGAACACCGCGCTCGAATTGCAGGCGATTGCTCGTGTAGACCGCATTGGTCAGAAGAATGAGACAACCGTTTGGCTATATCTGATTGAGGGCTCGGTAGAGGAATCGATTTACAACCTGTCGGTCAAGCGACGCATGGAACACATGGGCCAGAATTCCAAAGGAAAGTCCAAGGAGTCCACTCCAGAGGTCCAAGAGCCTACTCTGGAGGCTGCGAACACTCTGGAGCTAGAGCAAGCTCATCTCAACCAATTGATGAGCAGGGATAAGAATGCAGGCGAGGCGGTTGCGACTGACGACCTATGGGAGTGCCTATTTGGGCGTGTGTCCCGGCGAATTACATCGAGCGTTGCGGAGGAGATTGTTGCCGAGGACTAAACTGTCCATCAATCTACGGAGCAGAGAGTTAGGAGGTGTACTGTTTGATATTCGGAACAACGAGGCAACGCAGGTTATGTGGCGTTTGGTAGACATGATTTTGGGGGACACTGGTGGTGGTATCAGCACCCATTTGTGGGTAGGAGTTCTGTATGTTTGAGTATAGATGTTGCGTTGTGGCCCACTACTAGGCTAGGTAGATTACAACACAATTCACTTTCAACACCTGACACTCAATGACCTAAGAGCTCTAAATTGAGTGATTGCCAGCTTTCCAAACCTGGTCGACCTGATTCAAATAGACCATATGAGGCCCGTCTTCTAGCGTTGAAGAACCCCAGAAGTTGAGTCACGGAGGTAAGTTTAAGGTAAAGTACCTTACCTCAAGCATTTAGGGGTTTCGTGGCTCAGGGGCCCACCACAACTGGCGCCAGGTGCTGCGGGGACCTTGTTGGAGATAATTAGGTCATAATTGAACCCCAGGCTGACAGACAGGCAACCAGCATCGAAACCATTGTACAGCATTCCAACCACAACATCAGCAACCCCGCCTGAACTTCCCAGCTACAATTCGGTAGCCTGATCATGCTTTGAAAAGCCTGACAGCCGCCTCGAGGCTACACGCGACCAAGATTGCACCCCAGATGCACCAGCTATACCCTTTACGCCAGCATGTATAGGTCTCGAGGGACTGCCCCTCAGGGGGGCGGCATCCTCGGCGCCTTGAAGGCAACTGAGATGCTGGATTCGAGGCCGACGCTCCCAGCAGGTTCGCTCCTCTTCCTAACCAACAAGTCGCAGACAAGCTGACAATGGGTAGAAATCCTTGTCGCCATATTAGACTACCTCCCCGTGGCAGACCTGATGCAAGTCGCTCGAGCGTCCCGACGAATGCAAGAAATGGTATACGATGATACAAGATGGGTCACTCGATTGAAGAGCATGGGATGCTGGGATGAGAAAGAGGCGAGACGTCGTTTTGAAGACGCTGTGAGGAGGAGACGAGAGGCGGCAGAACGTGCAGCGAATGCAGCCAACAACCAGCCAGGCGCCCCAGCGAACCACATGGCACCGAAACCCACGAGTACGACCTTGTTCGATGCCACGTTAGAAGAAGAGCGCCGGAAGCGCCAGTCTGTCGCACCACCTATCGATGGATTCGAAAAGATGACGGTGGGGGCCCCAGCGCCGAAGGACCCTTTCAAGGACCCTGAGGCACTATTAGATGTAATCAAGAGCGCCAAAAGTGTGAGGGGACACGCGAGGGAAGAGTACGGGAAGATTTACGGCTCGTTGGCGCCTTTCTACTTTGACCTGGCAAGGGCAAAGAGCCATACGGATCCTATCGTTTTCCAAGTGTTCAGAGACCCCGAGCGACAAGCCAAGATGCTCTCGAATCTGCAGACATTTGCAAAGAGCGACTGGGCACAGGGCTGGAATCAGAGGGAGGAACGACTAATGACTATGACGAGTATCTTTGAGAGCGCTGTGCTACGGGAATTCGAACAGGGTTACGAGTCTTGGGATGTCGACAACAGGATGAAACGGTACGCTCATGTGCTGCACGCACTGAACGGTGGCAATGCCGGCACTGAGCTTTTTGTGCAAAAACACCCCATCTTTAGCGATGAGGACGTCTTGAGGGCGAATGCAGTGGACTGCATCAACCGGGCCAATCCAGACGACATCAATCTGGAGCCGTCACGAATGTTCTTTGAGACCCTATTACGAAAGATGAACGAACAGGCGGAAGTTATAGAACGGGTCTTTGCGAACCCCGACGTTGTGTTTTGGGAGTTGATGGAGAAAGTCAGGGAGGATATCATCATGGATTATGTCACGCCGCTTTTCGACGCTGCGCATGACCGGAACTTGCAGGCGTATCTCAGAGCCGTTGCGGGGGTTTTCGAGCAAGGCATGCTTTTCTTTCAGTCACTGACAACGCCGAAAGCCTTCAAGGGAAGTCTGGAGGAAAAGGCAAAAGACATGATGCTACGAGTCTTTGAGCCACATCTCGACCTCTACCTACAAGAGGAGCTTGACTTCTTTACGCAGCACGCCGAATCAGAGGTGGCAGAGTGGGAGAAGAAACTGTCGGAGCAAGACGCCTCGGTCGAGTCGTTCTACATGAGCAACTTCAACAGGCAAGCGGACAAGAAGGACTTTTTGAGTTCCTTCAAAAAGGTCGTCATGATGCCGGTTACTGTGCTGCCTTCATTTGGAACCTCGGCGAAACCCGTGACACCAAACGGCACTGCTGCTCTTTCACCAGAGCCATCGAGGCCGCACACGCCCAGCCTGGCTCCCGGCGTAGATGGAAATGGACGGCTGAGTCCGCTGCCCGAGAAGGCACCGACTGACGAATTAGCGGCCAAGGCAGCCCTCATGGCGTCACGGATGGAGGGTATCAAGACGCTCTTCAGCATCGAAGTGGCACTCAACCTGACACACGTCGCCAAGACGAGCATGGCGCGAGCATCTAGCTTCATCAAGCTGGGAGGCCAATACGGCGAAGAGGCGCGGGAACAGTGCGAGACCATCTTCGTGGTGATGCTCCGCATCCTCGGAAACAGACACGTCAAGCCCGGCTTCGACAAGGCCGTGGAACACCTCTCGCACTACAACCCACGAGAAGTCAGCGACCATAACCAGTCCGGCGTCGCGCCCCTGGTGACCTTTATCGAGCTCGTCAACGTGGGCGACCTCATCTCCCAGATGATTGACGTCTTCTTTGAGCAGCAGCTCGCGGGACCCAAGATTGCCGACAAGAACGACTTCCTCGACCCGTCGGGCATCGCCAAGAAGAAGTGGGAGCAAATGCTTGACGAGAGCGTCGCGGCGGGGCTGAATAAGGGCATCGACGTGCTCATGGACGAGGTCGAGTACCTCCACGGCACGACGCAGCAGCCGACGGACTACAACCCCACCGAGACGGGCGGCATCCTCGCGGACCCGGGCCCGACGCCGACGGCGCAGCGCATCAAGGAGCTCGTCTCGGCGCACACGCGCATGCTGGTCGGCAGCACCGACAAGTCCATGCTCGACGTCTTCAACGGCGAGGTCGGCCTGCGCCTCTTCACAGCCGTGTGCAAGCACCTCAAGCGCCAGCGCGTCAGCACCGAAGGCGCCATCAAGCTCATTGCCGACATGAACCTCTACTTTGAGTACATCCGCACCCTCAAGAACCAGGACCTGTTGGCGTACTTCAAGGCGCTGAGGGAGCTGAGCCAGATTTACCTCATCGACCCGCGTCACGCAAAGGAGATGGCCACCATTATTGCCGATGGCGACCGCTTCGAGGGCGTGTTCCGCGCCGAAGAGGCCTACGAGTTTGCCCAGCGCCGGGCGGATTGGTATCAGGTCAGGAAGGATGTCGAGAGAGCCATGTACGGGATGGAGTGCTCGCTGATGTGAACAACAGGAGAGAGCCAAGATACTGGACGATGCAAATGACGAGAAAAAAAAAGAGCCTTGATGTTTTGTGGAGTTCAAAAAACTAGAGCTTCCCAGAACCGTTGGGAAGAAAACCCCCTTTAAATAGCCTGTCCTATCCTTAAAAGAATATACCCCCTGTCCCTTTACCCGTTTGCCTCTGCCGTAACGCCCATGATGCTACATACTTTTTTTTGCAAGTGTGGAAAGAATTCGTAAAGACCGCGTGGAAGTGCAGATCTAAGCTCCAAAATTGAGCTTACGAGCCACCTTGGCGCCCCTATCCTCGTCAACCATACCGGGACGCCGCTTCAGGTCAGCGCCCATCTTTTCCTCGCCACCGCCTTTTTTGGGCAGGTCCTCCTTGCGTGAGGGCTTCGGCTCCGTGCGCCACCAGTTGTGGTTCAGCATATCTCGTGCGGTAATGCGCTTCTTGGGATCGAGAATGAACGTCTTCATTAGGAGATCGACACCCTCGGGACCCACGGTGCCGAACATGGCCTGGTAGAAATCCTTGCCCTTGACGGGCTCGGCATCATCCGGCACTGTGTAAGCGGGAAGCTTGGTCACTCCTGGCCAGTTGTCCTCTGTCGGTGTACCGACGGCACGGCAGATGAGGGAGATCTGTTGAACCTCGGTCTCGGACGGCATGTACGGCGCACGAATAATGAGTTCCGCAAAAACGCATCCGACGCTCCAGACGTCCACGGCGCCGCTGTAGTGTTTCGCGCCAAAGAGCAATTCAGGCGGGCGGTACCAGCGCGTGATAACCTGGTTCGTCATGACCTGGTATGGGTCCGCAAAGCTTCGCGCGAGACCGAAATCGGCAAGCTTCACCTCACCGTCGGCGGCGATCAGCAAGTTGTTGGGCTTGATATCGCGATGCAGAACAAAGTTTTCGTGACAGAACCAGACACCGCGGGTGAGCATGCCCATCCAGGCCTTGATATCTGCGGCACCGTAGCGGACGTTGGCTGTGTCCTTGATGAGCATCTCGAGGTCGCCCAGGGGCAGGTATTCGAGGACGAGGTTGAGGTTCTGGTCCTTTGAGGAGAAGACGGAGAGGAGGGAGATGATGTTGGGGTGCTGGAGCTCTTGGAGGTGCTTCAATTCGCGGACGGCGTCCGGTGCCATGCCTTCTTGGTACTCTTTCTGGACTTTGATCTTCTTGATGGCGACGAGAGAGGAGGTATTCGATCGGAGATGGCCGAGGAAGACGATGGCGTAGGTACCCTCTCCGAGTTTCTTTCCTGTGGGCAGTGCTTGTCAGCGAGGCCCTTTTTATTGCGCCATGCGCCATCTAGTCCTTTTGTGATCCCTCGACGAACCTTTGACATATTGCTTCTTCTCGACCTCGTTCATTTGCTCGGCGAGATCTAGAGTCGGGGCTGTCGTCGGGACGGGCGCCGCCTTCTTGTCCTTGGATGGCTGCGGGGTGCCATTTCCTGAGGAAACCTGAGCCGACGACACATTACGGAATGGCGAGCCGATAGCCCCCGCTGGCTTCAGCGCGTCGGCAGGACGGACGACGAGTGGTGATGCCGACATCGTGGATGGCCGTGGCTGATGTCGTCGCGATGCAGTCTTGAAGGTGATGGAGGGACGAGGCGACGGCTGAAGTCAGTAGGTAGTAGTAGCCTTGTCAGGCGTACCAGATGGTGATTGGCTATAGGTGCCACAGCTAGAATCAAGCCACATTACGGAAGGTGCGCCTCTCCCGAGCTCGAAACCGGGGCCGATTGGTTGGTTGGTTGGTTCCCAGCCAGTTCTGCATCATTGTGCTTTTTGCGGCAGCATACGCGACTCGACCCTGAAGCTCTGTGTGTGCATTTCGACTGAATTGAATTGCAGCAGACTTCGGATGACAGAAGACAAGTGTGTTAGCCGGAGGAAACCTCCGCGATGCCAATCGACATTGCAAAGTCTTTCCATATCTTCAATGCTCCATCGAACGCCTTATTGCGCAAAGTCACATAATGATACAACATCACCAGATCTTAGTTGGCTGTGTTTTTTCCGCTATCGCACCTTGCGCTCCTTGCGCCATCTTCATACGCGGCGCGACGATCATTTGAGTGACATGGGTGCTGGACGCGGAGCGGAATTTACTATGGAGCGGTCCCCGAACCCACCATATTCCCTAGAGCTGATGTATCCTTACGAGCACTTTGTATTGGGGAAACACCTAGAAATTGCGGCGGTGCAGCAGAACACATGCCCAACTCGGATGGATCCGAGATGGTGGTGTTGTCAATTGTTGGTTTGCGGACATGGTTGTTCCCCGTCTCTCCGAAAGATGTGGCTGCCAAGGCTGAACATGCACAAATGAGTTCAAGGCATTCCCTTGAGGCCGGGTGTCAATAAGAGTACGCAGTACACAGAATCAGTCAGCAACCAACCGAGGTGGTGTGGAAGACTCAGAGAATTAACGTGTGGTCGATTCATTGATTCCATTCTGATTCTGCTTCACCGAATGCAGTGCCGGTACCCATAGCAAGGAAGACAAGAAGATATAAACTCAAATCAAAGAAACAGCAAGTGAGCAAATCAGGCAGGTTGAGAGCCCCGATAATTTCCCTTAAGCGCTTAATCCGGCCAGACTCGCGGCGAATCGCAGCTTTTGCGATAGCGAACCTGCGGTCTAAAGAGTCTGAGGGTCGGCCGCGCCACTACGTCATCCCCTTGTTGACTTGCTCTCCTCGAGACCAATGACATGTTACCCCCACAACGCGCGCCCCGGCCGGGAAGCTTGCGCACCCAGTGTCCGCTCCAAGTGCCGATCGAATCCATGACTTCAGAACTTTTTAGACTACCTCTACACGTAGGTAGCTTGCAAGGGGCTGCCGAACGATATTGGCCCAAAAATTACCAGAATCTACATTACTCCGTAGACTCAGAGAAAGAGAGTGCGCCCGACCGCAGCAAGCCAGCCCGGACCCATCGGGCAACCAACATACGGGTAACGGGACGCCGATGACACCTCTTAAGTCCGCATACCCGACCCCCGGGGACACACCTCAGTCCATTCTGCTCTCTTTTCTCGACACACTGTCCAGGCACCGCCCGATGTTTGACGTACGCAGGCATCTCCCGCATAACGTTCATTAAGGACCCCCTCCCGCGCGCTCCCTTTCGCGTACGATACTTACAGCCAACGACATAATACCTACCAAACGTGATCAGACCTTCTTTTCGAGGTCTCTTCTTTTTTTTTTCTCCCGACTTCAGCCCAAAGTCTCGTGACACCTTCAGGCTCTGCCACGAGCAACGTTTGCGACAGTGAACACAACCTTTTTTTTTGGTAAGTGATGCAACTGCAAGTCCACTTTTTCTTCAATCGTCATACCTCGTCATCACCACTCCCAATTGGCGTCGTGAGCCTATATGCAGTACACCAACTGTGCCCTCAACGAACAGCCTCCTTTGGACATCGTGAATTCTTGGCAACACAAGCTGACACCCTCCCAGAAAGAGAAAAAGAGAAAAGCACAAACGCCAAGGCAAACACATACACATCCGCCCAACATGAGAATATTATCATACTGGATCTTCCCCATCATATCGGGTCTCGTGTGGCTCGGCATGCTCCTCGGCATGCTCCTCTACTGGATCATCGACACCCACCGCACAATCTACCCCTCCATGTCGCCGCCCCAGAGCATCGCCTACATCAGCGACGTCGGCGCCTACTACCTCAAGCCCCTCTTCATCACCGGCTGCGTCCTCACCACCATCTTCCTCGACCTCTCCTTCTTCTCCGACCGCTGGCTCCGCCACAAGGGCCGCCTCGTACCCAACACCTCCATTGGCGAGAAGATTCTGTATGGCTTCACAATCTTCTTCGCCATCATCGGCACCGTCGGCCTTATTTGCTTGAGCATCTTTGACACGTACCGCCACAAGAACCTGCACCTGCTCTTCCTGCTCTTCTTCATGGGCGGCTACCTGCTCTCGGCCATTTTTATTTGCTGGGAGTACCAGCGCCTGGGAATCAAGTACCCGGACCACACGTACCTCGCCGCGTCCTTCTGGATCAAGCTCGTCTTCATCCTCGTCGAGATCGTCCTCGCCATCGCCTTTATCGTCTGCAACTTTAAGGAGATTTACAACGCCGCCGCGATCCTCGAGTGGATCGTCGCGTTCATCTTTTCGTTTTACATCTTTTCGTTTACCGTCGACTTATTGCCCGCGGCCAAGACGAGGAACAAGGCGAACCGGTTTTCGAAGCCGGGGATGAGTCAATGGACTGGCGCTGGACCGGGAAACTTTTAAGGAGTCTAGACTGACTCTTCTAAATGGGAATGGGAACGGAATGGAAATAGGATACGATGAAAAAAAAGAGACAGATAATGAATCGGTGGGAGGAGTAATCGCGAGCACGACGGAGGCTTCGTGTTGTACGAATTGCATCTGCATACCCAGGGGGATAAAGATTATGAACAGCAGGCGTTTTGGGGCGTAATCCATTTTTTGCGCATATTCTAGATTTACAGTAGCATCACAAATCCGTTGCATACGTGCGATTCGATTCATTAAACATCCCGATTTTCTCTATCTCCATACTCAGCGACGCAATGGAAAAAGTCAATTGGCATGTAGGTCGGCATGGACCTACTTCCGTGCGTATGCATACCGGTTGCTTTCATGCCATCTCAACATCGAATGGAAGGATACTTCAAGTGCCTCGAGTGTAGTGCATGGACAGGAAGCTGCTCGTCCGCCATGATCAGCTTGCAGCCCGTCAGACGGCAATCTGATGGTTGAATATGACAATACTGTAAATCAGATACGACTGTAGCTGAGCAGCCTTGCATTGGAGATGTTAGATACTTCATAACTGTGAGCTATGGCACTTTTCGGGTTGATTTTCTTTAATTTGAACAGAAGAACTAGAAATGCTATTTAACATACGACAATCGAGAAGCGATGTGATATCTGTACGTTGAGAATGCCTCAACCATGAAATGCACTCCGACGCTCGTCGCTATCAGCCCCTATTCCCACCCCTGTCTAACTGAAGTATTCCTCCAGGGTAAGTTCCATCCATAAACGCCATCCATTCTAAAATGAAGAAATGGCCGTTCGTTACTGAAAGTGCCAATCTATCCCAATCTATTCCAGATTCTCTCGGAACCGCGAATCCCTCGTCGGGCTGTGCGTCTTTTGCGTATTCGGATCGCGAATAGCAGCCGGCGGCGAGACTGGGCCATCGAGCTCATCGCTCGCCTCGACAAAGTGCTCCGACTCGGTATCAGAGCTCACGGGGCTCACCTCACCTTCCTGTGCCGCTGCCGACCTGGGCGTCGCGTCGCTACTCTTGCCGGCGATGGCGACTTCTCTCATGCTGGCCGACCGCGCATCACCGAGACTGGTCGCACTCTCGCTGGCGAGTCTCGTAAGCGCAACACCGCCGATGAAGCCGCGCTCCTCGGCACTCTCCCCGGCCGCAGACCGGCCCCGCGGTCGTCCGAAGCGCGACTTGAGCCAAGTTTTCATCTTGTTCGTCGGCGAGCCGCTGTCGCTGGGTGAGCGAGGGTTATCGCTGCCGGAACTTTCTCTGTTTGTATTGATGGCCCCGGGCTTGTGCTGGCCTGCGCGAGTGGTGCCCTGATCGTCGCTCACGGGTGAGATTTCGCTAGGCTCTGCTGCGACGGCCGAGTCGCCCGGCGTGATCTCGGGGACCTTGGACTTGCGCTTCTCCTCGGCCTTGACAGCCTTTTCCTCTTCCTTCTTGGCCTTGAGCTCAAGCTTCTCACGATGGCGCTTCTCCTTTTCTTCCTGCTTCTCTTGCGCTGTGATTATGTTAGTAGTGGATTTAAGCGCACAAGGGAAAACTGCAACATACCAATGACCTTGCGGTTGATCTCCTTAACCTCCCTGTCACGCTCCTTGCGCTTCTCTTCGTCCCTCTTTTTGGCTTCTGCCTCCGCCTTGAGCACCTCTTGCCGTTCCCGCTCGATGGCAGCCTTCTCATTGATCTCGTCAAGAACGGGCTGGACTCTCCTCGTGGCAATCTCGTCGACTGCCGCAGGATCCATAAACATGCCACCGCCAATGTCTACCTTACCCCTATTCACGTTGGCAGACTCGTGCTTGGCCATGGCAGCCATCTGGGCCTTGGCTTCCCAGTCACTCTTCCGATCGCTCTTTGAGCTGGGCGCCACCATACCGGTCTCGGCTGAGATCTTGTCGTCCATGCCCTGTAGGCGGGCCTTGACGTTGCGTTGGGCGGCTGCTAGTAGGGCCTCGCGATCCTTTGTCCGCTTTTGCTCATCGACCTTGGTCAAGTTGGAGGAGAATATGGACATTTCTCTTCGAATGCGCTCAGATTGTTCCTTGTCGTGGCTTGCGTCGCCATCGCTTGAGGATCGCCGTCTGAGCTTACCCTTCATAGTAAACCTCCGCTGAGGTGTGGTCTGGGCATTGCTGCCGTAGTATTCCTGGTAGTCCCGGTTCTGGTGATGCTCCACATGAAGTTTAGACAAACGTTCTTGCGCTAGCTTGTATGCCGCTTCCTGGAGGTTGACATAGGGTTTGTGTTGAGTGCCGTCGGGGCTGGTCTCGCCTGCAGCTTGGTGGACTCGTGCCTGGTCGACCATTCTTTGCTGTTGGCTGTACATCTTTTTCGCCATGGCCACCGCAGAGGCGTGGAGGACGTCGGCTCTTTTCTTCTCATCTTCCTCAGGTCCGATAGCGGGCTTAGAGGTGAACATACTCCGAGGCAGGTTTGTGTACGGAACTGAGCCAGTGTTCTCAGTGGGGGACTTTGGCTTCAAAGAAGGGCTGTGAGCTGCTGTGGCGGCACTCAAAGCGTTTGCAGCAGCTCGTGATTCTCCGGGATAGGATTCCTTTGGCACGGGGGTCGATTTAGCTCGTGGCCTCGTCCTCCTGGACACAGGCATGGCATTCTGGGCTGCTGAAAGAGAGCCAAGGCCGGCGGCGGTAGAGGGTGTCTGGGTGGGCTGTCTGACTGAGCGGCTTTGTTTAAATGCCTGGTTCGCAGCGCTGCTTCCCCAAGACTCAGTGGCAGATGGAGGAGGGGTCGTGTTGGTGGTGGACTGTTTCTTTGCTGAAGCGCTGGCCAGCAGAGCAGCCTTGGCCCCGGCAGAGCTTGAGTTTGGTTCCCACGATGGTGCCATTTTGTAATCCTTTGCGAGCATAGCTGCGGTTGATGCAGAGTTTGACTTTTCGGGTTTCCAGAGGTCGATTGATTTTTGATTAGCCCAACCTAACGATGCGGCAGCTCCGGCAGCAGCTCCATCGGATTTCAGACCGGGGGATGGAAAGCTGGGTAGATCCCGCGGGTCGGCGTACTTTAATCTTCCCGAGTGGGCTGCTACATTCAGGGAAAAAGAAGGATTTATGATTAACACAGATGCTTTCTTTATTCGGGCCACTCCAAATAGAAACCTCGTATTCTGCAGGAGAGGGTGAGGTAAGGTTTCAAGTTACCTGTGGACGGTACCTGGTACCGTGTTTCCGCCATGCCTGTGCTTGACTTTTGCGCCTGCTGCGGCTGCGGCTGCGTCTGCTGCGTCGCTGTCTTGGAGGAGCTGGCTTGCATCATTGCCAGCCCGGAGCCGGCTTGGTGGTATCGATCCCGGGAATATCCACTTAACCGCTGCCGATGCCTGTTCGTCACAGGGCGACTGTACCGTAGCGAGGAGGGTACGGAGGAGTAGCGAGGATGTATACTACAGGGAACGGAAGGTCGAAAAGTGGGAAAGCTCGCAGCGGATTTGCGGCTTACACGCGGGTTGAGGTGGACGCGTGAGCAACGCCGTAGGTGGATTGATAACCGAAAGTCGAAAGTCCGATGTTATTTCTGGACCTGTTTACCCTTCCACGAGTGTCGCAAGAGGAAGTCGTATCACGAGATGAGATGAGCCCCTCGTCGTACTAAGGTAGGGTATACTGCAAGAAGGATGCGCCGAAAACTGGGAGGTCAAGGAGCTTGGATGCTTGGGTAAACCAAAGAGCAGAAAAATTGACCAGGAACGACGTCGAGGCGCAGGCGGGGGCTCCCGAAAGAGGGCATGCAAGTTATATCATACAGCCAGAAGCAGATCTTTCTGGTTCAAAGGAGGGCACTTGGTAGGGGGAGGGGGGCGTGGGCTGGTGGGAAGACTCCCTTCTAGACTGGCGGCGCGGCGCGAGCGAGCGAGCGCACGATGAGGTAGTAGGTATGCTTTCCAGCCAAAAACTGGTGAGCGGGAGCCGGTCAATGATGGTGATACGGCGTGCGCAGTTAGTGCTGGTGGCTAGTCATAGTGAGCTGCGACGACAGCAGCGCCTTACGTCATGCGGGGTCCCTTCCCTTCCGTTTCGGGCGTAGCAGCCTGCCATCTAGCACCTCTGCCCCTGTCAACATCCACCACACCTCCCCTCCCCAGCTCTTTGAATTGGGTACTCCATTTCCCTTTGCGAACGACCGAATGACCAGGTCCCCCGAGATATTGGCAAACAAACACACCACTGGGCCACTGACACCACTGCGACATACATACAAGCCAGCATGGCCCATCGTCCGCTCCGTTGTGGCTTCGGTCCAGCACCCGCCCGTCTCTGGAGTCGGCCAGTCCGGACCCTGTCGCGCTGAGTGGCGGATCGGGTTCCATGCTTTGGATTGGGCAATGCGACCACTCAGGTCTGGAGCGTGAGCTACCCAAAGTCTAGGCCAACACCTGTGACCTGGATCATCGAGCAGATGGAGGCTAGCCCTGTGGTGTGTCAGTTGTCCATAATCGGATCTACCTCTACACCTTTCACCGAAGTGACTTCGAAGCCCGAGATGCCGTCCGCGACGAAGACGACAAAGAGGGCGGCCAGGAGACTCGCGTACATAGTCAAAGACTTGCACGGGGTCCCAAGTCCGATAAAAATCAAAGCCAGCAAGAAGCCCGAGATTCAGGAAGTGCGAGCTCTCGGGGGGCTTGCTGTCTCGCTCGAGCTTTCTCCTTCGTTTGATGGAATGGACTGCACAGTCAGCCACATTTCGGATTGTTGATGGGTGCGTCCTGCAAGCTGCTGAAGGCTGAAGCAGCAGCCCCCAGATTTAGCTTCAACTTGAGACGTTGATTCTCCCATCTAGCGCAGGCAGCGTACATCAATCCGATATCACAGAAAGCAAGCTGTAATCCGAAAATCTAGCAAAATGCTGGTCACGCTGCGGTGGCTTTGATAGACCGAAAACATTAAATGGGAGCAGCAAGAAGACCGAGCTCTCTCTCCTGGACTTCACAGCCCAGACCGCTCACAATGCGCGAGTTCAGGCCGCAGTCGCAATTCCTGCGCGCAGATCTCTCTCAATAGTTATTCACCCATCGGTGACATCAAAAGACAGTCTCCGCCTCTCTCGCACCCCGATCTTAAGCTTTTTGGAGACGTGCAGGGATCTACCAGCCCTGGCCAGGGATCCCAGCACGTCCAACCTCACCTCGGCTCCCTATCCGTCATTAGATTGGCGGGCTGGGACTGGGAGCCTGATGCCTATGGTGAATGACGGTAACGATGGGAAGAGGGCCCTACGTCGCTTGCACGTTTTCCATTCCGATGCTCCGGGTTTCTGTTCGACGTGCCAAATCGTGGCGTCAAGCCCCCCTTTCCCAAACATTTCACACCAAGAGCTGCTTGCTACCTTACCACACACACAGTATCACACCCACTGCACCTTGCCGACCATCCTTCCAGCTGTCTGTACAGATTACGCGCCGTCGAAGCTGCTAGCCTCCAGCCGTTGACTGCTGACCGCTGGTATCTGCAACAAGCGCTCTCACTACCAAACTCCCTCTGAAGCTCTGATATTTGAAGTCATGGACAATAGGGGGATCACGTCTGTCCTCAACTTTCGTGATGTCGGCTCAACGGTGAATAAATTTCTTGGGAGAAGGTATGTCATTTCCAAGCTATTCTACCCTTACCGGCACTGCACAGAGGCGTTTGTAGTGAGCCGAAGCTAACATCCGTGCGTTTTGCTTGTCAGACTCGTAAGGGAAGGCTTGGTATTTCGTTCTGCCAGACCAGGTATGCCACGCGACTCGCACAATCTTCGCAAACACGCTGATCCTTGGTGCTAAATCTCTCAAGACGATGCCACTTTGGCAGACAGAAAACGTCTCCGCGACGAGCTGGGCATCAAGGCGGTGATCGACTTGCGCACGAAGTAAGTGCATGTGTTTCCACCCTTAAAAACAGAAAGACAAAAAAGGATCTTCCTGTGGAATGCAAGATCTCGCACTCTGATCAGTGACTGACGACATCTTTAGAACCGAGCACGTCAAGCAGGCGAAGAAGCGCGAGGCCGATCTCAAAGTGCCCACCATTCTGGAGTCCAATGCTGCACTAGCCGAGCCATTCCAGATCTCGGGTCTGACGTATCACGAGATCAGAATCACTGGCGGCAACTTTGAGTGGTTCTTGATCAGACAGGTATCTTGGTGGGGTTTGTGGTGAGAAGTCCTGGCTTCCTATTCAAAAAAATTCCAAAGCGGCTGATGCGTGATGTGCAACGTCTAGCCGCCTCATCTGCCTCTTCACTCTCGGCTACCGCAATGAGGGCATTTCCATCTTGTCTCGGGAGGTAATGCTGCCGCGTGGCCTGGTTGGTTTAGGCCTTGACACCCTCGATCAATCTGGTGAGGAGATTGCAAAGGTACGAGTGAACCATTATTGGCAGTTTGGTGCGGGTACAGGTATCTAACGAGCTTTCATGCGTAGGCTCTCAGAGTATTCATCGACCCGGCGACTTCACCGACTCTGGTCCACTGCACACAGGGCAAGGATAGGACCGGGCTGATTGTCAGTCTCGTTCTGTTCATCCTGGATGTACCGCTCGAGGCGATTGAGCATGACTACATGCTAACCAGTGGTGCGCTCGAGTCCGAGAGAGAAGAGAGACTGGCCGAGATGAGAGAGATTGGTCTCACAGACGATTGGTTCGAGACGGCGCCTGACATGATTGCACGGACGGCTCGTCATCTCGACGATGTCCACGGTGGGCTCAACGGATATCTGGATAAGATCGGTTTCGGCCAAGCCGATCGCTTGAAGCTTCGGGAGCTGCTGTTGTACTGATCCAGCAACTGGAGCTCAGGGGGGGTCTTGGTTCGTCACCCAAGCTCCGTACCGCTATACAATAGCTCATTGGCAAACCTCACTCGCCTTAGATTTCGAGTGATGTGAACTTTGGCTTTCTCATTTCTTCGTGAACCGTCCCTGCATCCAGCATCGGTACATCTTGAGCTTACGAGCCCTGTTGACAAGCATGCGCCTGTCGACACCAAGGTCATCGACGTTGAATTCAACCTTGGCGTCGTCACCCGACGCTTCTTGTGTCTTGCCGGACCAGATTCGCTCGAGCTCTTCCTTTTCGAAGAAGTACACTCGAGTGCCGTCGCCGCGCACGTAGAAGTTTTCATCGAGATAGCGTCCCTTCTTGAAGCGCACTTGGGCAAGGTCACCTCTTCCATAGTCGCGGAAGCAGACCTGGCCACCCGGCTTGAGCAGACGGTGGACGTTGGTAACAGCTTGGTTCCATTGATTGGGAGCCAAGGCGGAGAAGATAAAAATGAGTATAGCAACGTCCACAGATCCTTCTTCCAGTCCGGGAGGGAGCTCTTCGCTCGTAACGTCCCAGACGTCGGCTTGCATGTGGTCTTGATTGTAGGATTCATGGGTCCGCATGACCTCTACGGCCTGCTTCGAATAATCACAGGCATGGACTCTCAGGTTTGGGTTCTTGTTGGTTGCGAGAATGGGAAAGGCGGTGTTACCCGCACCGGCGCCTATTTCAAGAATCGTCTTCTTGCCAGCGTCCTCCTTGGTCACCTCGGACAGGATAGGAAACTCTTGCTGCAGCCATTTTCTGTTCTTGAAAAAGTTGGCTGTGTTGTTCTTGTAGAACAAATCCCACATTCTTGCCGGGTTGTTGTTCAATCTGTCTGAGGAGTTTTGTTAGCAAGCTGTACCAAAGCAAGCGGTCTTTCAAAATAATGGGTATTGATAGTGGTGTAGTCAGATGGGAGCGAAAGACTAATTAAGGAAGTTTTCATCATAGAATTCAGATGAACTATGCGTATTGCTGGGGTATCATCATAACACCAGGGTATTGGGAAATGGAAATGCGAGAGATGTAAACTTACTTTTGTCAAAGTCGGAGACC